ATAGATAGATAGATAGATAGATAGATAGATAGATAGGCAAATACACAGATACACAGATACAAAGATAGACAGATAGACAAATAAACATATTACACAGAATAAGAGACAGATAGATAGAGAGATGTAAAGATAGGGAGTGGGTATGTTGAAAGAGGTGTGGGTTGCGGTGAAGAGATAGAGATGGTATAATACACGCCCACTCGCCTACATACACACGGGCAACAACTACTTAACTCTGCCACTCATGAGTAAGCACTGATGACCAAGACAGAAATACCACAACACAATGCCATAAGCACACTCACACACAGGTATTCCTACCAACACATCTACACATCACAACTATGCACGATGTCTACGGCAGATCGCATTTGAATATATTATAATATATTGGCAAGCAAAGCATAACAAGACACGGTAATTCTAAATAATACGATAGTACCAATTAATATTATTTCAAAAGGTCCATGCTATGTCTGCGTTATTCGTTTTTAGCCGTAGCGTACGAAGCAGTAATTTACTTGGCTATGGAAAATAATCCAGATTCTACTATGTTAATAGAAATATAAACATTGCCTACATGTTAGAGTCTTCATTAACCCAAATATATCGAGCTTCTAATGGAATTTGGATGCACAAACACTAGAGGAAATTACTACAAGACAAGACAAGACAAGACTAAATGCACCTAACACGATATAATCATAATGCACGAACATAGTTATGGTACAAATCTGAAGCATAATCGTCACCGCCATTGGACTAGGAAAAAAACGTACCCATCTGGATCAAGTCCTTCACGTCAAAGTCTAGGAATTTAAAGTTCAAAAACTGCATTATAAATAATTGCAAAAGTGATACATGCTGGCATAATTCGGCGTGTTTGGGAACAGAGAAAAACGCAATGTCGTTAAACATATCAAAAGCGGGAGAAAAGAGAGAGAGAGAGAGAGAGAAGAAAAAAACAACAACCACAAATTAGTTTTTGGATTTGTCAGAAATAAGCGCCAGAGTGACCCAATTAAAAAAACCAAAACCATGCACATTTTCCAAAAAATAATATCATACCGCCTGTCGACAAGATTTCCTCTGATTTGTCTAGATTCCGAAGTTTAAATAAATTTGTAGTAGAGAAAAAAAAAAGACAATTAGTTCAGGATCAAGTAAAAATAACATCAAAGGAAATGAACAGTAGTATTTAAAGAAATTTACCAGCTACATTAATATTGGAATAGAATAGGCAACAACACAAAGCAAAATATTGCAACGAAGATGGTAAGTATTTTAATTTCACAAATACAAAATAAATAGTATTATTGATCCGTAAAAACGTAGACTGGGGAGAATTCATATGATAAACGGTTACAGGGGAAACGTGAGTTCACTCTCATTAGTAAGCACAGTTAATCAAACTGACAATACCCCCCCCTCTCCCCCTCCCTCCCCCGTCCGGACTTTTTTTCTTTTCTTCCAGAGGAAAAATCAGACTAGTCGCGATGTACACCTACTAATTGTGATGCAGCGTGGTGGAATCATGCTCTCGTCAATTTTTGGGCATGTAGAGTTATTGGTATCATCTTAAAGCTTGTTCACTTGTCTTTATTTGGATGAAAATAAATATCCGTTTTTCTTGAATACAAGTCGAGATATTTGCAGAAGAAGGAGGTGGGGGTCACCTGTTTTCAGAGATAAAATTACTGAGGAAATGGACGCCAAAGATTAGTTATTTCCTTAGCTTAAGAGTCCGTGGTAACTGAAAATTTACATTTTTTGTGCCTTTAATCAACGTTTTTCAGAAAAATCCAAACAGAAATGACTTCTTTAATGGTCATGAAAGGTGTTGAGCCAAAACACAAAATTTTGATAAAAATTTACAAACCTGCGGAAAAATGCAAGTTTCTTCATTTTGATTATTTTGACGAGAGCCTGATTCCACCACGCTGCCTCACAATTGTTTGTAATATCCAAAAGTCACAATTTTGTATGTCGAGCAACCTTTATAACAATGCTACATAAAGTAAAGTAAAGGAAACATCTCGTTAGGTTTCTGTAGTACTCATAGATTTACATTATAATATTATCCTAAATCGGACACTGTCATGGTTGTCTCTTTTCTCTCTTTGGTCTCTATAAAAACGTTGGGGCACTGGTGCGCATCGTTATCGTGTGAATGAAGGGAAAAACGCCAGTCTCACTAAAGCCAAGTGTGCGGGCAATATCCCCCTCCCCCTCCTTTCCCTTCCTTTGGTACCAAATAAAGTCAAATGATGTGCTCTTCATTGGACCAGAATTACATCATAGTGCACAGTCTTTCATAATATACTGATATAAGTCTATGATTGTACTATTCGGTCATTTATGATGTTATTAAAAATCTAACTAAAAGATAAGGATCGAAATACGTATTCTTTTTTTCCCAGTTTTGTTATTTGTGCACAAAGAAAAACTGTTTCAAATGTCACTACAACAAAAAGTTAATTAAATTAAGAAAAGACAGGGGAGTATTAGAAATTAACAAACAAACAAACAAACAAACAAACAAACAAACAAACAATCAAAATCAAATCTGAATGCAGAACGGGCAACCCGAACAATAAAATTTACCCCCACCAAAAAAAACACAAAACAACAACAACACAACAACAAACAAACAATAAAAACCAACAACAAAAACAACAACAAACAAACAAAATTTAAAAAGAAAACAAAATGTAAAAAGAAAACAAATAAAGAAATCATGTTCTAGTACAATATATTCTATTTTGTGGAACAGAGCACAGACTCAACTTCCTGACAGGATATTTTGGCCTATTTAAAGGCAGTATTATTGTAAGCTAATTTTCTCTAGAAACATGTTTGCTTGTGTATGTTTGTGTGTGCATGTGTGTGTTTGTGTGTGTATGTGTGTGGTTTTATTTGTGTGTGTATGCGGTTGTATTTGTATGTGTGTGTGATTGTGTGTGAGCTTGTGTGTGTGTGTGTGTGTGTGTGTGTGTGTGTGTGTGTGTGTGTGTGTGTGTGTGTGAGTGAGTGTGTGTGTGTGTGTGTTATATGTGTACATGTGAGTAGTATAAGCAAGTGATGATCGTTTACGTGTGCTTGCAAGTGTGTATGTGTGTTTGTTGTTGGTGCAGTATGTGTGTATGTTTTACGTGTATGTCTGTATATCAGTTATGTGTTTATGTTTGCATCAGTGTGTAAGTGTACGTGTATGTGTATGTATGTGTTAATGTGTACATATGTGCATGTATGTATGTGCGTGTGCATGTGTGTTTATGTATGTGTATGTATGAGTGTTTCAAGTGTTTGTTTATCAGGGGGTCTGTATATTATTCTGAAAGTACTCAGCTGCCTACAAGAAGTCGTAATTTTCTTGTGTAAGAAAACGAAGACGAACTAAAATCCAGCTAGAGATGTAGGCTACTTGACTGTTTAATTGTCTTTCTTTGTGATTCTCAGAAATACTCTTCACCGTTGCTTGTTGGTCAAGAACTCTCAAAGTTACTGTAGCAGTTTCAGGTTTCATTCAGATTTTAAAGGTCGAAATGAAGATCGTAAAATGGAACCACAAGTACTCGTGTCATTTCAAGCAACTCTATTCTTACTCGAAAAATCTAATTAAACGTAATAAATAACCCGTCCTTCTTAAGAAATTATTTAAAAGCGTAGACTCTCAGTTACCAAAAAAAAAAAAAAAAAAAAATACCAGGAAAATGAAAAATGAAATCATTATTAGATCTACTCATTTTACGTCAGAGATAGTCTGAATAATATGCATCAACAATGAGGGAAAAAACCCATGCCTAAAAATAAACCAACCCCAATCTCCCTACACACTTTTGATGAAATACCAATGAGAAAGAATATATTGTTATATCATATATAGCACATGTGTATTGAATAAAGAACACCTGGAAAAAGTACAGGTGTATCGTATACAGAAACGGAAAAGCTACACGTGAATTGTATACAGAAACGAAAATAATACAATGTATGTTTATCATGTGTGTGTGCTTGTTTATCATAACGTCTGTAAATTCTGAAAGTACTCAGTTGTCTACAAAAAGGCGAACTCTTCTTGTTTATGGAGTAGAAAGAAAAGCAACTTGATTTCGTTCAAGTGAATTGTATAAAGAAACGGAAATAAAACGAGAATTGTATATAAAAAAAGGAAATAACACACGAGAATTGTGGAAACAGCATTTAAGGTCAACAGGTATACTTACCGAGGTAATGGCTGTCAAAGTCTTTGTTGCTCTGTATCTCATCTTCTGAGGGGAACAAGTTATGAGGCTCACAGCTCTCGTCTGAGGATGAGAAAACATAGCATCTAGCGTGAGTCACCGGGGATCTGGGATAAACAAAGGTTATGTTTCCAGAAATACACACACACACACACACACACACACACACACACACACAT